CATATGCGTAAATTCATTCACATATTCTCCTGGGACCCAGCAATGACATTTTTTCCTACAACTCAAGACAGGCCTGATTTTATTGTCAAATATGGATCACTTATGGAGGTGATAGACCCAGTTTGATACCATCGATAACCCCAATGCTGATTTAAGGTGTCCTCATATGTGGACACGTGGTCCAAGCATGCCCAAAGTATTTCCAGTGTCCATGCACGTTGACAATATAAGAATGCCATGTTCAAAGAGATATGCAGTATAGAACAAGATAGAATGCTAAATTAAACAGTTGTCATGACAACCAATCTATAAGTGAAGCAATAAGTGTCCTTTATTTGGAAACAAACTTCACTGAAAATCCTTCTTTTACAAAGTTGGCCCTTTATTCCGGAAAAGAATTATCATAAAGTCAAAACATTTCACGGATCAAAACATAAACGTTTAATACCGAAATTGACTTCACCTGGGTGTTGCACATGTCTAAAGAAGAACTGATACAGTACCAATGGACAATAAACATGACTCAAAAAGAACTTCAATTATAACTTCAAAACTCTCAAACTTTACCTTCAATACTGTAAAAAGTCAAATGTGAGTTGCTTCACATATGGAAGTTTTCAAAACATTCACGCATTCACATCAGTCGAGATTTGCCAATTTTTCATCGAGGATGTCGACAACGAGCCGCATTCATTAACTCAACAATCCTGGGCAAATGTTTTGCACCAGCTCTCCTGGCAGCTTCTGGAGGCAATGGGACTCTATTCCGGAGAGGCTCATCCGCAAACGGCCTCGCAGTCCGAAGCCATGTAAATCTCTTAAAATACCATATTTCCACGCAGTGCCATATGCCTATTCAAGATAAAAAAAGATAGACACGGCGTGTTGTCTATTAATTAGAAGGTTTTAACAAATGACTCCAAACGCACTAAGTGATCGACAGAGCTTCTGGGTTTTTTTTGCGGAAACCACATTGAATATCCGTTATAAGGTTATTGGTTTCCAAGTACCAAACAGATCGATTACTTGTCTTTTAAACACAGCTTGTTAGTGTGATCCATCGATAATTCGAGTGCCAAATATCATCAAAAATGTTTAAGAGGGTCCATAAACATGATTCTGGTAAGTGCTTCAGAAGCTGATAATGTATGCTACCAGCCCCTGAAGCAGTATCGTGAGCTTGTTTAAGAGCAGCACGAGTTTCATGAATAGAAAATGGTTCATTTTAATCTTCCCCATTATCTGAATTTAAATTAACAGGTTTCTTTTCCTGTTGCATTTTATATTTTTGGAATTGAGGTAGATAATTCGATGAGGAAGAGTGTTTGGCCAAAGTTTCTCCAAGTTTATTTGCAATATCAGATTACTAAGTAATAATTCGTCTCCATTTTTAAGATGCTTAATGCTAGATTGAGCGCTCTAAACTTTTATTTTCTGGATCATATTCCATACCTTTGAATTCGGCGTTCGTGAATGTATTTTTGATACATACGTTCGCCAGGATTGACGTTTACTTTGCTTGAAGGTATGCCGTGCCTTAGCATTTAAAATTTATAATTTATTCAAATTATGGACCATAGGATGGTGACGGAAATAATGCTCGGCTTTCTTTCGTGCCTTCCTAGTCTGTTTGCACTCATTGTTGAACCACGGTTTTTGGATGTGTGGAATTGCAGAGGATTTGGGTATACACTTATCAGCTATATTATTGAGTTCATCAGAGAAATCCTTCATAGCATCAGAAACATCAATAAAAAGTTCAGGTTTAAGTCTGTTACAACACAGGCTTTGATATAAATGCCAGTTAGCTTTTTTAAAGTTCCATCTTGAGGATGGGGTAATATCACAGATTCATAGATTTGGGTTCACAGATTTTAGACACACAACAAATCTCCGGCGCACAGAAAAAGTCGCTCATACTGTTAATGTAGCAGAAGTACACATCTGTGGAAAACATAAAAACTGAAATTACTATCGCCTTTGAATTTAAAAATAAATAGATTATTTCTGTTTACCGACTAAAGCAGGACAATATGTGTTATCAGCATCACTCATTGCACAATAAACAAGAAGACAAAGTCATCCATATCTCCCGCAATGGCAAAATACTCATCATGAATATGTCAGCTAGTTTTCACTATGTGAAATGTACGGTTTGTGTACCTAGTGTTGATACTGGAAATAGAGTGGTAATGTTTATTTATGTCATTAGGTTTCTCCGGACAAGATGACATCCTCATAGCCACAGCCTAAGTCACGTTTCCATGGAAACCGCAAAAAATATAATTCACATCTTGGTCTAAACTCCAAAAGAGACATCTATGGATCATGACTGACATATGTCCCAACTTTGATGAAGCTAGTATGTATAGTTTGGAAGATCTGCTCAGGAGAGCATGACATCCTCAAAGTCACAGCCTAAGTCATGTTTCCACGGAAACAGCAAAAAATGAAATTCATATGTGGGTCGAATCCCCAAAAGGGACATCTAGGGATCATGGTTGAAAGGTGTACCAACTTTGGTTAAGCTATCACGAACAATTTAGGAGATATGCTTCGGGTAACGTGTGACGGACGCACGGACGGACGGAACTCGTTACCGCCATCCAGACTGTGGGTTACCGACATCCTAGCTCGATTTTAAAAATGTTTATACCTCAATAAATAGGCATTAATATGAAAATTCAGTGCATTCAAAATATTCACACCTACAAAGTTTATCAGTGTGGTAAATAATTTTGATTGTATACACGTGGAAGAGTGTATAACGTGCGTTACCAGCATCACCTTAGGTACAGTGTTGTAAGCACCTTAGTCGGAAAGTCTGTTTATCGACAGTTGCTCGTATGCTGATCTACAAGGTCGGCAAAACATTGAATTTCCATCCCAAAGAGGCCACTCCTTGAATTCCTCTCCCCATTTACTTTGCTGTGACCGTTTCCTGCTATTACTGTCATCTTCCTGTTGTTTTGTTCGGGTTATCGTAACATGATGGATCATGGATGATTCCCGAACGTTAATAAAGAAAAATAATATGGCAAAGATTCCAGTTGAAAGCAAAAGACTGATAATTTACTGAAGGCCACGAAGGCCAGCAAACATTTGCAACTGCCGGCCCGATACAATAACAACCGGCGCTTGGTCTTCGGGCCGGCGATTATATCGAACACTGCAAACAGTACTTATCTTTTCTCTCACTCACACTCACTCACACACACACAGACACCCCACACACACACACACACACACACACACACACTGGATACTGTATATATAACCATTGTCTATGAGCAGTACAGTAATGTCTTGCTTCAGTACCTCAGTGTTTGATGGCAAATCCTTATTGTCTGCGTATGTGTGCAGTGCGCACTTGCCTACATTGTCGTATTTTACGAGTGATCAGCCTTGCAGACTTTGCCATTAACCTATGATCTTGGCATCAGATGTAAGATTCACATCAGGACCTAAGCGAGTGTCACAGGACCTAAGCGAGTGTCACAGCTTCAGATGGACAAATCTTCATATGGCAGACTTCAAATAGTCAACCGAGCACACCTTCACATGGCTACTGTTACACATTCAAATGGACACACCTTCTAATGGCAGACTTCCCATAATCAAGTTAGTTTTACACCTTCAGCTGAGCACACCTTCAGATGGACACACCGTCATGTGGCTATATTCTTGAGAGGCATTTAGAAGTTGGTGAATATATAAGACGAGTATATGGATAAATTCTTCTTTATTATATAACACGGCGTTTCTGGGCTCCTTCTTGTCCCTTCTTCGGGTGATCAAAGACAGGCGTAGGAAAAGTATTATATATACCAGATAGTTTCCTGTAAATCTGGTATAAATAATATGTTTACTACACCTGTCTTTAATCACCTGAAGAAGGGGCAATAAGTAGCCCGGAAACGTGGTGTTATATAATAAAGAAGTTCATATGGCAAGCTTTACACCTTTAGCTGAGCACACCTTCAGATGGAAACACCTTCAGATGTCTGACAACACATTCCACGGAGCAAACCTTTCGATGGCTGCTTTTGAACATCGCGCTATTTCAACACACTTTAATGTGTATGTCTTCTTTAGTGTTTTCCAGCCAAAGAGACCTGGGTTCACTTGCACAGAGCAATCTTAGACAGTGTCGATTTTAAGACAGCATGGATTCTTAAGAACGCAATCTGTACTAAGATCGAACTCATCAACGGTGAAAGTTAGAATTTCTAAAACTCGATTTCTGCCAAACGTGAAGTGAAACCTATGAAACCGATCACGCCCCCACCCCCATCGTCGTACCTTCCAGAGCAAAGTTTTCACGACAACCACCACCAACACACACACACACACATACACACAAATTTATCTTAAGGAAACGATTACGTGGAAGTTAGCATATATTTTGCTACTTCCAAACTATCGTGATTTAGGAACTGGGAATTTAATATTGCAACCACAGAAATACCTAGCCATGTTTTATGAAAATATTGATATACGAATACATACATTTATAAATTTTGGTTTAGATCTAGATTTAGTGCCATAATGATTATGAAAATAAAATAAACAATAAAAATAATTTCCTTATAACATAGCACCTATTTGTATGATCTGCCAATGGTTGTCAATGAGACATTGTTTAATAAGCATCTGTTGGGGGGAATATTTATTTACTCATTTTTATAGTATTTCCCCCCAAAAATCCCATATATATCCAAGAAGTATTGGTTTTGTTACTGTAAGAAAATGGGAAAAATGATTTTGCATGTTAACGTGTATCTAATTGTAGATTATTTTAATTGTAAGACAAAATCACTAACGTTTGCACATTTCTAAATGTTAGAGTCTTTAGAAGGTTGTATAAGTGTTTGCGTGTACGACTCAAAGGAAATTGAAGATGAATGTCATTTAATACTGACATCTCTGACTAAAATTATTTCATTTGAAAACTTTATTTAAATGTATACATGTGTGATGGAGAACATCAGAATCCATCGGTTAAGAGAAAGTGAATGTATATATAAATTTAAAATTGCCAGTATTATTTGTCTTTGGCCTTTTACTGAAAAAAACTGACTGTCCGTCCGTCGTAGGAAGTTGAGGACCATCCGATTCTCCCATATCACGTCATTAGTTTCTTAAGACGTATATAGTTTCCCGTGAACATTCGTTTCTCAATTGGTGGTCAGCAGCCCATGCTTTTCCTGAGGCGACTAACGGGATCAGGGGTCAGGCTCGATGACTTGGTTGACACATGTCATCGTATCCCAATTGCGTAGATATATGCTGATGTTGTTGATCACTAGGATTGTGTGACCCAGGCTGGATTATTTACTTACCGCCGCCATGTATCTGGAATATTGAGGGGAAACTCTCCTGGGACCTGGCATCCTTGCAATACTTCCAGAACAGGATGGTGACACCTGCCGCCATCAGCGCGGGGATCAGGGCAAACACAATCACGTACATCCAAACTCGACTTTTGCACGTGGACCACATGTCGATTCTGCCATACGGACCATTATCTCCATTGTGGTACACCACGTTCATGTGAGGGCTGAGTGAAATGTCCAATGAACATGGCTTGTCGTTAGGACGGTAAAAACAGTGGGATGTGGCAGAACTGACGTCATAGAGTGTCCGAGTTATGTACACATAGGCGTCCAAGTAAATGAAGTTGTTTGAAGTGGAGTAATACATGAAATAGTAATCGTCACTCTGTGAAACGTTCAGCGTGTAGGTGAAGGCTGGGGAGGTGATATGAGATGCAAGGTAACATCCATCACAGCTTCCTTTGTTGTCAATCCACGCCTGAAGATTGGAGCTTCCTTTTATGATGAATGCTGATATAAGTTTACTCCCGGATGAAACCACGACGGCTTTAGAACCTTTCAGGAGATAGAATCCCCAGTGTGCGTATGTACGTCCCATCATAAAACTGTAATATGATGTATTGAACTGTTCGAACTTGCTGGGATCAACCACCGGTTCTCCATCAAACGTGTAGGCTTCGAAAGGATCGCTGGAGTTGAGAGTGAGGCTCTGACAGAAGGCGTTGTTCACGTGGTCCTCTACTTTGCGCATGTCTGTTGGCGCTGCCTGGAACTTGTTGGTGCGGAGGACTCTGATGCTGATGAGAAGTCCAGCGGTGAGGACGGCAGTGGCAACATAGATCCAGAGGAGTGCGATTCGGAGGTAGCGGGACATGTGTATGCTACAGAGGAGCATCCTGACGATGTTGGTGATGCAGCAGGTGCATTCCACACAGCATTCACACATGCCTTCCTCTGAGCCTCTTCCCTTTTCCATATGTTTCAAAAACGTGGTAGCATGGTACATCCTGGAATACACGCTGTACGTTTTAAACATATCGATACTGCACGTAGATATTTAGATTGAAAAGATAAAAAACTAAACTGTTTTTGCCAACTGAATTTTATATGGTATGAAAACATTGACAAAACTATTATTGAACGTAACAGTAATTCTCAAAATGCAACTTGCTGTTGTAGTTTCTATTTTGACTTTTTATATATCAACAACAAATAATACTTGGTATACTTGCGATTACACTTACACATTAAACTACAGATTCTATGACTATTCTACCGGTTGAACCCCACCCGGGATTCGAACCCATACTTTCAGGTAAAGGCCTTAAACACAAGCACACAAAGTCTGCGATCTCGACTCGACCACATTGGCGTTCACAATATATGGAAGACTGAGCGCGTCAGCATCGTTCTACGCTATGGGAATACGACGTGTGCAGTAACGCCCTCTCTCCATCCTGCTGGCCCCCTTGGAGGACGAGTATGAAGGTTTGAACATGAATTCTAACCTGGATCTTCGAGGGTGAAATCGAATCTGCGATAGGCAGTGGTACAATACCGGCTCACAACTAAATGTAAACAGTTCAGTGAGGCACAAGCAAATCTGACCTACCTTAAAAATCAGTATTTCAACACGAAGTAAAGCTTTCTGCAGTACAATATGTGGAGGTGACAGCCACCTACTTTTCTTTTCCAGTCGTTGCTGTTGAAGGTGTGATCATATATATCAGAACATAGCCTATCGCCACGTGACCTGTTATCACGCTGAAAGCTGCATGTCATGTGACATTCGCTTGGTTGTTTTTTTTCCCACTGGAGCTATGACGTCATTACTCGTGAAGACAGACGTAAATGCTTAGTGGGAAACTTTCATCACGTGCTGAGAGTGACTCTTACATGGGCGATGGTACTTAATAATAATAATAATAATAATGTGTCCATTTATATAGCGCCAAACTCCACACTAGGTATGCTCATAGCGCTAACAATCAAGGTCATTATTACCCCGGATAACCCAAGCTGCCTGTTAGGCGCTAGAAGGTTATAGTCATATGACTTTTTTTTTCCACCGGGTACCCATTTTCCTGCTGGGTGAACAGAGGCAATTTTGAACAAACTCACTTGCCTAAGGTGAGACCACATGTATCACATGTGCTTCGTTGTGGGGCAGGACTCAAGTCCTAGAAACTCTCAGGAGTCAAGCTGCCAAACACGGTCACCCATCCAAGGACTCTCCGAGCTCGACGCTGCTTAACTTCACCGATTTGTGACCTGAGCTTTAAGCACGCGCCACTACTTGAGTAGATGATAATGATTTTGACGGGATTCATCATTATCACTACGTCAAGAATTATTATGGTGATGATGATGATGTGTATAATGTCGATTTTCCTGATGTTAAAGATAATGACAACTGTACGTGAGTTGGGTTGTACTTTTTCCCTGAACGCTATGACTCCTTTGACAATTTGTACTTTTTGGGGGAATCGAACCCAGTACAAGGCAGGGCGACATAAAACTGTCACCACTGGCTTACTCAGCCACACGTATAACGAGAAAACATTCGCAAAAACTGTAACTGCATCTAAAGTTTCTTTAAGTGAAAACAAAGACAGATTGTTTTCTGGCTGTGGGGTAGCCTCGTAGTTTAAACGTTCGCTTGTCACGCCGAAACCCCGGGTTAGATTCCTCATATGGCTGCAATGAGTGGAGCCCATTTCTGATGTCCCCCGTGAATAGCTTCAACATTACTGATGCGGCTTAAAGCAACATTCACTCACTCGCTCCCCCGCCGTGATATTGCCGGAATATTGCTAAAAGCGGCGTAAAACTAAACTCACTCACTAACGGTTGTTTGGAATTGGGCAACTGTCCTGTGAATCATACCTGTTTACAATTTCCCACACAGTGTGTTGCAACGTCCAGTTCGTGATCACGTTTATCAGAGTTACGTCGAAAGGACATGTACTCATGGAGTATAAGGGATAGGTTCGATACGAATAGTAAGTGGGTATTAAATATGCCCGTGATATATAATTTCATATCGGATTAAACATAGGATTTGGTAGTAAACGCCAGATAACTGACTGCGACAAGTAATTTGAAAGTGATGTGGATATATCTACACATGTACAGAGACTCGATACGTCTATGTAAAGAAATCACATGTCTGTCAGGACAGTGTGACCTGTACGCCACTAATTATCACAAGCAGGACTATCACCGCCAGCGTTACAGCATCTATATATAGAGTGAGTGAGTGAGTTTGGTTTTACGCCGCTTTTAGCAATATTCCAGCAATATCACGGCGGGGGACACAAGAAATGGGCTTAACACATTGTACCCATGTTGGGAATCGAACCCGGGTCTTCGGCGTGACGAGCGAACGCCTTAACCACAAGGCTACCCCACCGCCCCCTATATATAGAGAGGGAGCAGCGTCGTATCATTCTACATCCTCACACAGGGAAGTGTATCACCGAATTCTATATATCATCTGTATAGGGAGAGGTTTGGAAACATAACCGTTCATCACAAGCGAGTGCACGTTGGTTTTCGTGAACATTGTTAGAAATCGTATTGAGAATAATCTGAAATTTAAGGTGAGAGACATGAAATGCTACATGTTGATTAAGATTACTTATTGTCTGAACCAGATCCACCCCAGTAACACTGAGGCCACAAAAGGAGTGAGTTTGATTTTAACGTTGAACTGTAACGCGTCATCTTGAAAAAAATTATCAATGCTGGTCGAAGATAAAGAACAACGTTAGTGGTAAGATGTGGCACTGTATTGATACATTACTCTGTCTGTGGTAAGATATGCTCTGTGAGTGGTTAGACATGGATCTGTTGTAAGTGGTTAGGCATGACTATATCGCCAGTTCACTGTGATGTTATGAATAAAACAAGGCGTATTTACAACACAAAATATAGACTATATCATCGGTTGTATTATTCACTGAAATGTCCCCACTCACTCACACACTACGTGCTCAATTCGGCCTATTCAACAAGAGCATACCTAAATGTAAATTGACAGTACGCCAAGAGACTCTGGTTTTCCATGTACACCACTCAGACACATTATACTGACTCCGAGCCGACCAGTCCTTGTACCCATTAATGCCGAGCGCAGTAGTAGTAGTAGTAGTAGTAGTAGGAGTAGGAGGAGTAGTAGTAGTCGTAGTAGTAGCTTGCGTTATCTTGAGAATACTGATCAATGCTGCCACAGATCTGTTTTGGTGAGATGTGGCTCTGCAGTTATGAATTGCTCTGTTTGTGGTGAGGCGTGGATTCTTTGTAAGATATGCTCTATTTGTGGTAAGACATGGATCTGTTTGTGGTAAGGCATGCTCTGCCTGTGGTAAGGCGTGGATTTATTTGTTGTAAGATATGCTCTGTTTGTGGTAAGACATGCTCTGTTTGTGGTAAGGCATGGATTGTTTGTAAGATATGCTCTATTTGTGGTAAGACATGGATCTGTTTGTGGTAAGGCATGCTCTGCCTGTGGTAAGGCGTGGATTTGTTTTTTAAGATATGCTCTATTTGTGGTAAGACATGGATCTGTTTGTGGTAAGGCATGCTCTGTCTGTGGTAAGGCGTGGATTTGTTTGTTGTAAGATATGCTCTATCTGTGGTAAGACATGGATCTGTTTGTGGTAAGGCATGCTCTGCCTGTGGTAAGGCGTGGATTTGTTGGTTGTAAGATATGCTCTGTTTGTGGTAAGACATGCTCTGTTTGTGGTAAGGCATGCTCTGCCTGTAGTAAGGCGTGGATTTGTTTGTTGTAAGATATGCTCTATTTGTGGTAAGACATGGATCTGTTTGTGGTAAGGCATGCTCTGTCTGTGGTAAGGCGTGGATTTGTTGGTTGTAAGATATGCTCTATCTGTGGTAAGACATGGATCTGTTTGTGGTAAGGCATGCTCTGCCTGTGGTAAGGCGTGGATTTGTTGGTTGTAAGATATGCTCTATTTGTGGTAAGACATGGATCTGTTTGTGGTAGGGCATGCTCTGCTTGTGGTAAGGCGTAGATCTGTTTGTTGTAAGACCTGCTCTGTTTATGGTAAGACATGCTCTGCTTATGGTAAGACATGCTCTGCCTGTGGTATAATGCATGGTTATGTTTGTGGTAATGAGTCATTGTTCATTCAGAAAAATCAAAATTAGTTATTTGTTTCTTGAAATTGTAAACACCCGAATTGCGAACCAACAATGGTGGACACTGGAGAATAATTTCACCTACCATATAACTACTGTGGTCTTCTTGCATTGATATTGGCTGCGTTAATTTTTTTCTTGTTGTAACCTTTATGAATGAAGTAAGTATTTCTTTGTTGGACACGGCACCCGTGAACAGCCACCTCCTCGGGGTGGGTGCTGGGTAACGCTAAGCGCTCTTCAACCCCCGGGGTATATTTGGTCCACCAACCCGTTTGCCGTGGGTTGCGCCCCTGTGTCGGTGGAGGACGGGAGGCTGGTGGTTGAGGGCACTGGTTCCAGGAATAGCGTTCCTTTGCCCAACACACCACTTCGCCCCTTACTTCACCAAGACGGGTGGTAGAACTTGCCCGGTTCTATCAATCGGCTGGTCACGCCAAGCCCTTTGCTACAACTATTTACTATTGCACAAAATGTTTGAGAATTATTACATGATATTTTTAAGTCTTGGCGAATTTTTTAACTTCAAACTTCACATATACAAATTCATGTATGTTTTTTGCCTAGAGTTGTATGTCCAGAAGGCGGTGGCTCATGGGCCAATCTGGTGGAATCATTAATCTTTTATTTTACCTGCTAGAGTAATCATCCGGGTATCCTTGGTGCTGCAAGTCGGAGATCCGCTTGCTTTTAGCATTGTCCGTGTGATACTCCGTGGTGGGTGGGGAGCTCGGATGACGAACATTGAAAAATTAACCATGGCTTACGTAACACACACACAGTGTGGATTTGTCTCTTGCAGATTCTAACCTCCTGAATGAATTTGACTGGTCTGTTCATAATGACCTTTGTGGAAGTGATCACTTCCCAACTATCCTTTCAGAAATAACTCCATCTGATTCTCCATCATATACAAGATGGAACTTTTCGAAGGCTAACTGGTCTGTATATCAAACTATTTGTAAATCGAAACTGCGACCTGAATGTTTTAGTGATATAACTGATCCCATTCAAACTTTTGCTGACGTTTTAAATGAAAAAGCTGATGAGTGTATTCCCAAGTCCTCTACGACTCCACATGTACGAAAACCATGGTTTAATACAGATGGTAGACAAGCCAGAAAAGCGAGGAAAAAGGCAGAGCATTATTTCCGCCATCATCCAACTGTCCATAACTTAAATAAATTTAAAATACTCAATGCAAAGGCGCGTCGTACCTTCAAACAAAACAAACGGAAATCTTGGAGAAATTATGTCTCCAAAATTAATTCACGCACGCCCATGTCCAAGGTTTGGAATATGGTTCAGAGAATTAAAGGCAAAGGTGCAAAATCTGCTGTTCACCATCTTAAAGATGGTGAAAATTTAATTACCTACAAGTCTAAAATTGCAAATAAAATTGGCGAAACTCTTGCCAAACATTCTTCGTCGCCAAATTATGTCCCTGAGTTTCAGAGATATCAGAAACAACAGGAAAGACAAAAGTTTATTTCGAATCAAATGAAGATAGATAGATAGATATTCTTTATTTCCTCCATAGTTTGAAGATTACAAATGTATATGTATATT